TGTTATGGTTTTCTTCCCCTTCTCTGGCTTTCTCTAAAGATGTCCGTCCCTCCCCTATTCCTACACTGACAGATGTTATCAATTTAAGATGTGGCCAGGGATTCTATTAAGGTTTCAGACAGAAGATAAAAAAGTAGAAGTGAGGGTATTAGTAAGACAGTCTGGAGCGAGAATGATATGAGTGATAAAGCTGCTGATCATTTCGTTTTACAGAGAGTGATCTTCACTGCCATCATTTTTCAGCCTTTCTAGCTCTACAGATATCCACTCTATTTTATTTGGGTCATTTCCAAAAACAGCACTAGATGAATAGACGAAGAACCATTGGTGCACAGAAAATAGGATTGTTACTCAAGTAAAAGTGAGAGATGTGAGTTCACACTCACTATGCAATTTAAAGTACGTGGATATATGCATCAATGGTTATGGGCCTATATTTATTCAATTTATTCTATATACGCATATATCAGTTTCAATTTGTGTTCGTGTGTAATCATCAGCAGATCCAGCTGCTTGCTTGCTGCTGTGATGTGAGAAGCCTGGAGGCAGAATATTGTGTGTGATTACATGCTCGTGGAAAAAAATAAGACAAATATGAGGTGAGATGATGATGTTTTCCTGCATATTACACATCTCTGAATGTGAACTGGTCAGAAGGAAGAGAAGGTCATGCAGACGATAGAAGGGAATGCACAGCTAGCACTTATTCTTCGATTTAAGAGGAGGCTGAGTTGGAGGACCATACTTCTTCCAAAACCAAGGAGAAAGAATGTATGCAAAGACATGCCTGCTTCCAAAGAGACCTTATTGTTGTGAGAAATCAACATCACACATTTCTTGAATAAAGTATAACTAGAACATTTCTTAAGAAAAAAATTAAAGGTGCCAATGCAGCTACCAGCCACAACTGCAGCATACATCTTTTTTTTTTTTCAAGCCCAAGAGTGATTTTGAATTTATCTTAGTGATAGTATAAGCTGACAAAATGCTGTCATCTTGACAGGGACTAAAGTTCCCCATTGCCACAATGGATTTCCATCATTTTGAACATGGTCAGCATGGATTTCTATCATCTATAAAAATGAGAATGGGGTTCCACATATTTTTTGTTGTGGTCTTGTTAACGCCATCCACTCTAATAATCACAGAGGGATTAAACTGACGCTGCTGACAACAAATACAACAAATCACATTCGGCTTTACCCAATCAGAACAGAGCAGGGTGGGTTGTGCGTTCTGATGTACAATGAGTCCGGGTTCCAGCTGTTTTCCTAACTGAGTCAGCAGTGGTCTCTCTCTGTCCCAAAGCGCTCACAGGTGGTCAGATCACCGAGATCCCCCTGCACTCTGACACACACACTGCAAACTAGCTACACATGCGCTGATCCATCTCTGGCTGACAGACCTCGCACACCGAGCCCCTGACCTTCTTGGGACTTTTGTATTTAAAACTATCCATCCATCATTTTTATCTGCTTCTTCCTTTTCAGGTCATGGGTGTCACTGGTGCCCAAGTCCAGCCATCACTGTGCGAGTGGCGTTGTAACAGAGCTACTCCAACATGCAGCCACCCTGAGCGGCGTAATTCTACAATGTAAAGATGATTTTGTAGTCCGCCCTCTCCCCTGTCGACTCCTCTGAGGTAGCCATAGCCAAAGTGGTTCAAAGCATCAAAATTCTTTGAGCCACTTTCAGCTGTAAGAAAACAACAAACTTTATTTTGTCGATTTTTATTTAAATTCTCAAAAACAGCTCCACCTCTTCTCCAGTTTCACAGTTCACCATTGCTCCATAAAGTAGCTCTAAAAGTTCCAGGTTGAAAGTTTTCTGCCTCAGTAAGATTTGAGGTGATCTTACCAAGTCACACCAGCCTGATGACATCACCCAGCTCTTTCCTTGGCAACAGAAAATACAAAGTACAAGGTTGGAGACAAAAAAAAAAAAAAAAGCTGCTCTATTGAGTTGCAGTGGTTTAAACAATCTCACTGAGTAAAGGAAGCAAAACCTTTCTGTCAACAGATTGGGTTCAGGACTTATGAACAGATAATTACAGGCGGTAGATGATCTGAAGCACCTGATCATTTCTGGACCAGAAACGGAGATAATTTCTTCTCTAATCTTTTATCCTGAGATTGTACTTGAATGAGTTTAACTTGAACAGTCTACATACAGCTTGATATGCTGCTGGACACAATTAAGATTTCTGGAATTACATCATTGTCTGTAACATCCAAAATAAATGAGACACATGACAAAAAAAGTCTCATTGTTGAGGTGCACAACGTGTGCTGCACCCTCCCTGTACAACCACCAGTGCTGAGGGTGCTTCTTATAGCTCTGTTTTCAAAAAGAAATGCAACAAGACCACTGGGGGTTTTGGACAATTGCTATCTGTTTCATCCAATGCAACAACCAAAAGAAGTACTTTTACAGTATATGAAGAGTAATGATGAACTTAACATGTTTTTAATCTACTTTGTATATGGTATTCATTGTTCTGGGTATGTATGAGGTTTAATGTTACATCAGTGCAGGAATGTTTGAGTGGATTATGGATCCTCCCAATTCAAATTGCGTTTGCATGTGATAGCATCTGCTAATGGCTGTTTGTCTGGTTTAACTGCACATTTTACAGGCTGACTGATGCCATAAAAATCTTGTCACGTTACAACAGAATAGCTTCTTTGGATAGATAAATACATGAAATATAATAATTCCTAATTTGCTGTGGTCCTAGCAGAATCTGTTACCATTAGACAATGCTGATCAGCCATTTGTGTGTTATGAACCATGAAATTAAATCATTAAATTGAATTAAACACAACATAAGATCTCTGTACTATTTACAGCTGACAAATCTTTTATTTACTCTGCCATCACACTCCATCATGTCGAGTCCTGAGTGAACTTTAAATCAGCAGCTGAGTGATTCCCTGTCAGCCCAACCAATAAGCAACGCACATGCACAGGTAATCAGTCTTGCAGTTCTGCAAGTGTGTCCTCGCTTCTGAATTCAGGTTTTAAGCTGAAGCTTCAAAAGTCAGACAACAAATGAGCTCATCTTTGCAATCAATACTGTAGACACTCACAGCTTAGCACTTTGAAAAGGCAATCTGCGGTGGCTAATGGCTTATGTTAAGATGTCAGTATTGCCTTTACAACTCTTAACTGAAGCTTAGCCTCAATTGGGGGGGGAAAGGCTAAAGCAGTCTTTAGCTCCCTTTTACAAGTCAAGTTTAATCCTCCGAACAGCATGTGGTATAATGTTCAATGAAATAAATGGGAGGGCATTGAAGAGGAGAGGGGTAGTTCGGTCCTTGCCACAGATGAAAGCGACAAAAGATGACCCACCAGTGCCCTCGCACAGAGAGATTTCTTTATCTGAGGCAAAGCATCGATGAACAGTCTCATTTGGGCTGTGAAATCCACAGCGGAGTGTGCAAAGTGAAACAGTCCCTTTTCTTTTATCAGTGTGTAATTAGTGGCAGCTATCAGTTTAGAGGACAGTTTAATAGTACACTTTAATTCAGACTGGGTCAGTCATTTGTCAAAAGGCAGACAAAATGCCTTTTTTTAAATTACATTGTTCGTTCAAGGCAAAAGAATGTTTCACAACTCGTTGAGTTTCTTAGATATAATATTAGTATCACCAAAATGTTTCTGAATTGAGTGGAAGCAACTGAATCTTTCAGATCCATCAAACTTCGTTAACCTTCATGGGATATTTTTTGTGCAATTAAATTTACACATACATGGATGATCTGGAAGACACTTTCATCATAATCTTCATCAGCTCTATCTGCTCACCTTGCCAGCAGGCACCAACTGTTAGCTGCACGTCAATCTGGGATGGGTGGATGGGCCAGTCATCCGTCACTAGGTAGGGGTCGTAGGTGACTCCGTCCACATAGAGCGTCACCATCGGAAACTCCACGTTGATGACGTAGTAATGCCACTCCTTGTCACAAATCTGAGAGGAGAGAGACAACAAGAGAGTGGATTCTGAATGAGTGTAACTTGTATTTTGAAAAATTATGTGTGCAGGAAAGTCCTATGTATGTAGTACTATGTACTATGTAATGACAAGTACTAGACGAGACTTGAGTTTTATTGTCAGTATGTTGCCAGTACTTGTCTGAACCAAAAGAATAACACTGGGTAGCAGCAAAGCATGTACTGAGGCGGCTTTGGGGTGATCTCATTAGGGAGGGAGGACAAACCTGCAGGAAAACCCCATTTTAAGCTGCTAACGATTGCTTGCATTCTATTAGACTAATACATATACATTCATACATACATACGAGGTATTGTGCGAAGATGTATTTGTATATTCAAAGTTAATACCTGTAATTCAATTTGGGGTGGCTGTGGCTGAGAGTTTAGAGTAGCCATCCTCCTATGTAAGAGTTGGGGGTTCGATTCCACCAGCAGTCACATGCTGAAGTGTCCCTGGGCAAGACACTGAACCCCACAATGCCTCCAATGTTTGTCCCATCGGTGTATGAATGTGATAAAGCACTGAATATTATTTGTATAGATCTAGTAGAGTGCTGTATGAATGGGTAAATGAGGCACAGATTGTAGTGTAAAGAGCTTTGAGTATCTTGATAAGATAGAATGCGCTATATAAGTACAGTCCATATTGAGATATCTAAAGGGCACTGTAAACCAGGAGTTGTGCTTTAAAAAAGATTATAAAAATCTTAAACTTGTAGCATATTGTGATGAAGACTGGGCAGGAAACCAGAA